ATATATATATATATATATATATATATATATATATATATATTACCTAGAGTTCATCATATTTCAAAATTTATAATTCATTTAAATTTGCATGTTTAGTGTGCTGCTAGATGGCAAAACAAAAAGAAAGGGAAAAAGGCCCTTTATACTATTCTTAACAAACTTACCAATGTAATGCTTTCGATCATTGTTTCTTGTGACATTAAAAGGAATAATATTTGAAGAGAGACAGTTATTGCAAAATAAATTATTGTGGTGAAGAGTCAGATGATCACATTTAATTATATTTGGTGTCTATTCTAGGACTCTCGTCAGATGCCACAGTTTTGACACCAAATACAGAAAGCAGTTGTGATTTAATGACCAAAACTAAATCAACTAGTGGAAATGATGACAGCACATCATTAGATCTAGAGTGGGAAGATGAAGAAGGTATTTTATGGTCACAGTTTTACCTGAAAAAGGTTAATCTGTTAACTTATAAAATCAACTTGGTATTTTACTTTAAACTGAAATGAATTCAAGGCTTTGAAAAATCAGTATAAAAATTTCTTGGACACTTATTGTATTAGTGATTATCATTTGCTGATAAATTCTTTATAAAGTTGCTTAATTTTTAACCTTTCTTAAGATTTAGAAAACAAATGTTTATTTCTCATTTTAAGGTTGTTGTAACCCAGCCCATGGATCCTGCTGTTACTCAGTAAGAAGAATTACTGCCCCCTTGTGGGCAAGCGAAAGCCAAAAGTTAATCACCTCGGTTCATTGTAAATTAGCAATTTGTTAGTGTTTTTGGTAGTACAAAAGCTGTAGCACAGACATGAGTTTGACTTTAGCTGCCATGTCTTCCTAGCTGTAGTGCTTTAGGTAGATTTCTTAACCTCTCTGAGCTGGTTCATTCACATAATAAAACTGCTGTAAAGGGTGATTTATTCACTGGTGCCACGTGGCCTCTGCCTGGTGCATGGTAGGCGCTCAGTAAGTATGGGAACACACGAATGCATACACGTTGTGAGGGTTAAATAAAGTTTATATACAATGCCCAGTACCGGGTGTTGCACATAGCCAGTGCTCAGAACGATAACTGAAGTGTGGATTTTTTTTAAAAGGCTCTCACTGAATAAGGCCAAGGTTTCATTTTCATTTTAAGAAATAAATAGTCCGAAAAGGAAGAACGGATAGGACTTTAAGAAAAACAATAAGCACTAAAATTGTCATGGAATTTTGAGATAGAATGGACGTTAGATATCCACCCTGGTCAAGCTATTCAATATTTGTTTTATCACTAAAGAAACTGATATATGGGAGACTTGAATAATTTTACCAAAGGGTGTAAGTCTTCGCAGCTAAACAGTTTCCCCACTCCTGTGCTTCCATTGTTGCACATTGGGATTCCAATCAGCAGACTTTAAATTTATTTTTATTTTAGCATCATGTTCAATTTGATCTAAAGCCTTTCAGGCCTTTTAATTCCTGATTCTGTCACCCACGCTCGACGCTAATCAGATTTGTAGGTAACGGGACTTTTGAGGTCACTGCTCAAGTCTGTGACAGATTACTTACTAACCAGCTGGGTAGAGGGCAGCCTGCTAGAAACCTGCTCGTAGGTCGATGTACAGTCCAGCTTCCTTTAGACATGGTGTTATTTAATCAAATGCAAATCCACAAAATCATATTTTTATCTTGTCTGTCGGAACAGCCTGCCTGCTCTGCTGGGCTAACTAAGTCTCCGTGAGTTTTCGAGAGTGACAGACAACCGCGATGCAGACATAAATGTTCTCAACCTCTTTTCTAGTTCTGTTGGGTTGTCAGAAAAGTCATGATGTATTTTTTTCTATGTTTTTCGTTGCAAAAATGCGTCATGACTTTCCCGACAACCCAATAGATTTTAATTCTATCACCATGTTGATTCTACACTTACAAATTCTGATTCCTGCCCTCCGTCTTTCTTTCTCTCCCTTCTGCCAGTAAAATGACATTGCTTTTTTCTTCCAAGATTTTTGGCACTTTCAGTGTACTGACAATTCTTTCTGTTCAGAATTAGGCCTGGACAGTTTGTCAATTCTCTGCTGTGTGGTGGTGGCGTCAGAGTAGGAGGGGCACAGGCTTTGGGGCCAGAATGAACGCCCCCCCCACGTCCAGAGCTCGGGGACCTGAGCAGGTCACTTGCCTCTTCCTGCCCCAATTTCCTGATTATAGGATGGAGGGTCATGAATGCAGTGCCCATAACTTCAAAGATTTGTAGGGGATTAAATCATTTGACATAGGTGAGCATTAACTGGAATCTCATAAGTGCAGGAACAGTGTGTGTCATTAGAGTGACTGTTACCTCTGGGAAAGGAAGCTGTCATCTGGGCTCTGGAGGGTTTGGCATATGAGACTGACAACAGTTGAGGTCCTCCGCCCACCCTGCTTTATTTGTGGCTCTTCAGAAACTTCATCTTATTAGATGATCAGTGTTGCACCCAAGCCGTCCTTTGCTGAGTATTAATGTATATTTTATGTAAGGCACACTAGAGGGATAGACCCCAACAGTTTACCCTCAAGAAGGCCTCCGTGGGACTGTTTAAGTTAATGCACAAACCAAGTCTGATTGCTAAAGAGAAATTGTGTTGATAAACTGGAAAGGCTTTTAATACATCTTTTTAATATTCACTGAGGTGTTTAATAACTGCCCGATAACAGGCATGAACCGAATGCTTCCGATGCGAGAGCGCTCGAAAACGGAGGAAGACATTCTCCGGGCCGCGCTGACGGGCGGTGGCGGCGGGAAGCCCGTGAGCACCGCCGCGTCCGCCTCCGACGACTCCAATGGGCTGGAGTGGGAGAGCGACTTCGTGAGCGCCGAGGTGGACAGCAATGGCAACTCCGAGTACGCGGGCTTCGTCAACCCGGTGCTGGAGCTGCCCGAGCCCGGCCTGCAGCAGAGACGCTGACACTGCGTGACCCGCCTGGTGGTTGTGACAGTGGCCAGAGCCACCTCGACTGGACGGATTGTTGTGCCGAGCCTTTCTCTAAGAGGCAGGTAGGGACCTGTGTTGTAAACGCTCGTTAGAAAGGCATCAGGATGAGAGGCTGTACCGGAATCGCTTCAGAATTAAGTGCAATTTCATCATCGGTCTTCTGTTTTTCAAAAGCAATTCGGTGGTTCTGTCATGTTATCAACTCAGTTTATTCTCTTTTCTTGGTAGCATTCCTGTTTACCATTACTAGGTTTTCATTGTTAACCTGGTTTTACTACTTTTCCTTTGTTTTCGTAAGCTTCTTTCAGTAGCTAACTAGGAAACCATGAAGGTGTTTTGTGTCAGTGCTCAGCAGATGTGGAGGGGGGAGCAGGAGGGCAGCGGGGTTCCGACTCAGAAAGTGTCCCTTTGCTGATTGCTGTGCTTATTTCAATGTGATTATGTAGCAGTAAGCACAATTAATGTGACTAGACCCTAGAGAAATGCTGAAGCATCGTTTTCTTTCTACACTTACTGTATATCCCAGTATAATCATGTGGCTTCAGCCTGAAACGGGGGACATCACATGATAAAGTGACTTTTCACGGCTTGGACCCTCACAGTTGGTAATCAAAATTAATATTGAGGAAAGGAAATATACTTGGGTTTTTCACTTCCTTTTATAGGCCACTATACATGAATATTGGCTTAAGTTACTTCATGTATTAAATTTCCAGGTGTCATTTGTTTTTAAATTTTATATTTCCAATGACTGATCTTAGAAGGTTTCACACAGAACATATCCTCTGTGCATGATTTAGTAAGAAAGGAAAACCTGAAAAGATAATACGGGTATTTCAAAGTAAATAAAATCCTTTCTGGTATGAAAGGGTCCATTGATTTTCTTAAGCTTTCCTTTCCTTTGCCTTGTAATACAAGGCAGTAATGGGACAGAACTAAGTGTATCAACATATAAAACTACATTTTGTGACATACAATGAGCTCTTCTTTTCTCTAAAGGTTATGTATCAATTTAAAAGGCCAAGGATACACGACACTTCCCTAACTGCTTGTCTTGATTTTGCTGAGGATTATGATTTTAGTGAGCAAACTCTTTTGATTTTTCCATAGTGCTTTTTCTTTTCTTTCTCTTGCAACAATGACAGTGCATGTTCTCAAAAATACAGGAAGGTCCAGATATAAATAGTAACTTAAAGTTCTTGCCGTACTTGAAAATAAAAAGAATCATGTGGTCCTTTCAATATTTGACCTGCGAGGCAATGACAGCTATAGCTTCATCTCTTTTTCTCATAGAAATAAATACGACACTTTAAATATGTAAGATAGTGGGTAACGCTCTATTTATATCTGTCTTTCTACAATTTAAGCAGCTCTGCCACTGGAAGCCCTGTAAAGGCGATCTGTATTCTCATTGCCTGTGGAATGCTTTTTAAAGTCTGTGTACATCAGATGTGTATTTTTGGTTTGGCATAAGCTACTACTATAAATTGTTTCAGCATTTTGTTCATCAGAGAAATTTTTGAAGGAATGGTAACTTCTCAAGGATTGTGAATAAACACATTTTTACATTTAAAAACTAAATTATTTGATTACTTGTTTTACTCCATAAAAATTCTGACTCCTGATGTAATTATTTTATTAAATCTGCTATGAAGACAAAAAGGAGTGAATTAGGAAACCAGGCTGGAACTAAACTTGAAATTGTGTTTTAACTGCTAAGAACAGGACATTAATTTTCTTTGTATGTTTATAAACACACTAGAAGTTAACATTCATTCAGCAGCTAGTGGAGACTCCACTGTGTCTGGTAGCGTGTGAGGGACATCGAAGTGGAGGGGGAGGTGTTCTGAGCAAAGGGCGTGGCCACAACAAAGGGAGGGGGAGGGCTTGGCGTGGGGGGAGGGCAGCGTGGTGTGAGGTGATGGAGGGAGGCCCATGTGGGGCTTGCAGGCCACGGTCAAGGGTGCTGGGTGGCTACTGCCCTCTCTGTCAGCTGGAGTCCACGTAAGCACTTCTGCTGTCATGAAAACGCCCTGCACTGCTGTGAAGAGACGCGTGGGAGGTGGGGCTCCCTGTGGGACCTGTGACGTTGCTGCAGGAGTGCAGAGAGGGAGAACCAATGCGATTTCCTAATGGGTTAGATGTGGGGACAAAAGAAGGGGTGGAGCCGGGGGACTGGGAATGCATCCAGCCTGGCGCCCTGGTGACCGCCCCCTGGCACATCCACAGGGACACGCAGCTGGAGTCGAGCCCCAGGCTTGACAGAAGAGCCTGTGCTTCTCCTTGGCACATGACACGATATGCAGCCCTAGAGGAGCTGTCACACGCCCTTTGTCACCTGCGTCCTGTCTTGCAGAAGGCTGCCACGTGGCAATTTCTCACCCACTTTGCTGGTCCTGCCTCAGCGGTTCAGGTTCAGGTGGAAGCTGTGCCCTCTGACCTCTGTGACTGGCCTCCCGGTTCAGTGTCATCCTAGGGATCAGGGATGCAGGAAGCTGGCTCAATGGTGATCTTGCTTTTGCTATCTGTGTAATAAAAAATGTCTAAATCTATTTGGGTTCATCGTCTTCCTTCCTACTGGCCAAATCTATGGAAGTTTGACAACCAACCCAGCAGCTGCAATTGTGTGACAATAACTTCTTGGTTTTTGACATGTTGGAGGAACAGGTTTGGGAAAGTGGAGGAAATTGAGAGTACAGAGTTGGAAAATTAAATGTGAGGTGCTTATGAGAAATTCAAATGAAGAAGAAAGCAGGTGATGGGATATATGTCTGCAGCTCAGGGAAGACATCTGGGCATAGGTTTAGGGTCATCAATAGGTGGCTGAGATCACCCCAGGGAGCATCGAGGCAGCGAAGCCTCGCTGAGTGTAGACATTCCGAGGCCAGGTCACAGAAGCAGACACAGGAGGCACGCCGGGACTCGGAGCCAGTGACCAAGAGGGGCCCACAGTATCAAGTGCTGCTGGGGCACCAGGAGGAGAGGACGGCGGCGTCAGTGGGTCAGGGACATGGAGACTAGTGTGCATGACAGGATTTGCATAGGTGAAGGCCTGGAGGCTGCGGGGGCTGAGCTAGGGGTGAAAAGTAAAGAATGGCCAGTGCAGACAATTATTTGAAAAGTTGCTGTCCGAGCGCAGAAGTGGGGGATTGGAGTAATGCGAGGGTGTTTGCTTAGCATGCTTGAACTTCTGAAACGGTGTGACTTGGAATTATGCCTGCTTTTTCCTTCAGTGATTGGAGAAATAAAATTTTTCTAGTGGAGGCCAGTTTTCATTTTATTTTAAGTACCTAAAGCTGTTCCAATCATAAGAGCACACTTGAAAAAGATTTTATATCAAATACATTTATAGTGTTTTCCCATCTTCATTTGGTACATTTGGTTAATTATCTGTCAGTAAAGGAGGTCACAAAAAAATTCACTGGAAAACACAGATTTTCTGTATCTGATTCTTGAATCCTTAGGAAATATTAATGCTGAAATGAAATCAAATTAGGAAAATGACATTAAAATACATTATTATGAGTATTTTTTGTTACAGATGATTTAAGGGAGTTGTTTCTGACATCGCATCATAGGACTGTCCTTTGCAGCTCAGTAATCTTTTCGGTGTGACCACTGATTATAAGACCCAACTGGTGCTCGTGTTGTCCGTGGTGTCGTGGACGGTGTGACACTGCTGAGGACCCTACTTGGTCTCAATTTCCATACGAACGCTGTGATGGAGACACTATTTCAACCTTTTTTTTTCAGAAGAGGGAACTAAAGCTCTCTGTTAGTGACAGATCGCACAGGAAACGGTGGATCAGCCCCACCAACAGTGTGAGTCAGAGCCCGCCCCCAATGCTGCGCGCACTACCTTTTTCTAGAGATTACATCAGTGTTCTTTAGGGGGTATTTTTGAGTTTTGTTTTGTTCAGCTGTTAGAAAAAGTCTGTCTAACTAACTCTGGATGACTGAAAAATTGTTTTAGGATGTCAGAAGTGATGTTATAAAAAGGCACTCTGACCTAAGGTGAAGTCCCGCTATTGGACCTCAGAAGTTTTCTGGGTTAAAACGTTATTGCCTTGGTTTTGGCTTAGGAGCTGGGATTTCACTAACTGTATTACAAAAGCTACTCCGTGCTCTCTGTTACTGGGTTTTCTCTTCTGTGAAGATGGTAGCAAGCAGTGCCAGACTGGTCCCCACTGGACCCTCCGGGACCTTCCACCAGCAACACAGCATTCTCTTCTCTAGTGTCCCCAGCCCCAAAGTCATTGCTTCAGAGATACAAGGCCAAAGAAGTATTGTCATGATGAATGAGTGTTTGGGGACAACCAACTGGAAGCCTTGTAAATTCCAGGCACACATTTCATAGTGCTCATCCTTGGTCATCACCTGAAATGGCAGCTGATTGTTTCAATCAGGGTCCAGTTTGTAAAATAGTCACCACACCTGTTATTTTAACAGATAATAACTACTGTAAGGAATTAAATGTTAGATAACTGAAAAGTAAAAACAAGACTTGAGATTCACACACACACTCACACACACCAGTAATAGTAGTTATCTACTGAGAGTAAGACTATAGCTAATTTTTCTAAAGGCATATTGAAACCAATATTAACACTTGTGTTAGAGCATAAAAGTGATGCTGTTTCAAGTCAGTCACTGCATTAGGTAGTAAAGACAGAATCTTCTAGAATATGGATATATAGTCATGTGGCATATGAGATCTCACCATGCGGAAGCACTGCCTGTGGTGACGACGTTCTGTGCTAATAAACCTGGATAGTGGAGTCGGAGGAAGCGTCCGCAGTCCTCACCCACGACTGCCCTGAGCCCCCTGTTCACGATTCACTTTCGTCCATTTCTGTAGGAGACGCACTTGGGGGGCAGGAGGACAGGAAACGGCCTTCCTCAGGCACGGGCCTCCCTGGCGGCCAGTGGTTTTCTTGCAGGAGTGACCTTGGGGACAAGACAAACTGAGTCTCAAAGACGTCCAGCGACTCTCCGTCTTCCTTCTCCATCAGAAGCTGGTAGTCGCCGAACCTGACCATGCATTTGGGCGGCAGGTCCACCTTGTTCAGGTAGCCCAGCTCCTTGCTGTCCACAAGCAGACTAGTCTTCTTACTCATATTTTTTATTTCAAAGGAGAGAACTGAGCTGTCAAACTTCTTAAACAGCTGCACAGAAAACTGGACTCGGGAAACCTGTTTGTCCTGAAAAGTGTACCGACATGTGTTGGGGTTGCGGCCAAACTTCACCACTTCACTGGACGGCAGCCTCTCTCGGTGGTGAAACCGTATCAACTGGAACATTCCGCCGTGCCGCTGGCCAGGGTGGTACACAGTGACCTGCAGACAGGTGACCGTCTCTTCTGTGTCAGCATCTTCGAAACTGGACATGACGTGCAGCCTCTGACTCCACCCGCCTGCAACAGTCACAGCAGCACATTAGTTTAGCGCGGACTTTGGCGTGAGATTTTGGCTCTAATATCTTGATGAAAAGCTTCTGAGAGGTGATTTATTTAGATTTTAAATTAAGAAAACACTACATAGAATACTTTCAATTATGTGGAATCTTACACCAAGCCCTACGAAAACTGGTGTATGACCTTTTCCTAGCTCTTTACTTTTCACTTCTGGCTGACGATAAGGCCGTACAGGCAATCAAGGCAACCAAAGGAATGACTGTTGAAGTAAGTGGCTTGTAGGAGCATAGTGAAACCTTAGTTCCTTTCTCATTTAAATAGACTGACTTGGGGGCCGGCTGAGTGGCGCGATGGTTAAGAGCTGGCTTGGGATGCCAGAGGGCCCCGGTTCGGATCCCACATATGAGGGCCAGTGACACTGCCCTCTACAGCTAAGATGCTGAACAACAGAACCTGGAGCTGGGCTGCCCTGAGTCGCCAGCGATGACGTAGGCTGCAGCCCCTGTGGCAGTGGGTGGCCATGGGCTACCGTGTGTGGCCAGCAGCCAGCGTGAGGGGCAGCGGGCAGAAGCCGGCGACTGATCTGCCTCGCCCGGGAAGAGCGCAATGATCGTGCCAACTTGGGCCAATGAAGCGACATCCTCCACAACTAGACTGAAGACCAAAACGACAGCAACTTGTCTGTTCCCCTTCCCCCAATTCCCCAGCACTGTTCCCATCCCCCAATTCCCCAATTAAAAAAAAAATCTAAAAAAATAAATAAAATAGACTGACTTGGGCCGAGAGAAAATATGACGGCTTTACTTTAAAGAGAAAATCAGGAAAAAACAGTGCCTTTGGTTTGAACACCCTCCGAGGAGACACACATAAAACCTACAGCTTCTTAACTGAATTATAATTAAGATGTATTATGAATTGTGAAAACTGGTTTAAAATATAATTAAAAGTCAAATAAATAATTGCAATATTTATATCCTCATGTAGATTTCTAGTAGGCAAATGGTTAAAAACAGTAAATGCTACAAGAGGTTCTTCTATAATTTTAAATTTTAGACATTACATACTTTTTAAAAAGATAAAGCTCCCTGAGGTAGCTGTCAATGTCATAGTCTGTACTGATCCTGGAATTACTTGTTTTTGTCAGCGTTTCCTAATGGCTGGACAGACGGTCAGGAACCTCCGGCAGTACCATCTACCTGCTGTGACCCACATCCCCTCAGCCCCTGGCCGGCGACCCCTCTGCCATCCGGGGAGGGGGGTTGGTTACCGAAACCTTGGAGAGGTTATTTTGACACAACGGCCATTTTAAAACTATTTTAAAAGAATTACATGGGCATGACTTCAAACAGTAAAACCAGTTACTCTAAACAGTACCTTCCCTCCACCCTAACCCTGTTTCCTCTTCTAGAATCAATGCTGTAAAAGTTGCTTTTATCCTCAGACATTTTCTTTCTACAACAAGCATAACTGTGCGCTCCCAGACACACACGTTTCTACACAGAGAGAAAACATGGTCCTCTACAGATAGGAACATACTGTGTTCAGTTCTAGAGCTTGTGTTTTTCAATCAGTAATCCAAATGGGTGCTTTTTCTCCATTTCCACACGCCTACATACGCCTCATTCTTTATCAGCTGCGTGGAGTCCTTTCATCGAGCTCAGTGGTCACCTGCCGACCGGCAGTGGCAGGGGGGCGCCTGCACCCTCTGAATATTGTATTTGGGGCTTGGGAGTCAACAGTGTTCAGTGAGGTTGGTCAGCAATGTTATTGTTTTCTGTTTGCCATCAGTATTAGCATCAAATCTATGCCAGTTTAAAAAAAACAATACTTTTTTATGCTTGCTATTTACTTTTAACATACAGTTTTTGTTTCACAAAGTTATGCTGTTAAACTTATCAAACTGTCAATTTATTCAACAAATGACACAGCTAAGCAGAATTCTTTTTTATTTATTTGGAAATATACTTTAATTCTTACTTTCATAGTAGATTCTTTTGGACATTATTACATTAATGTCCACCTACAAGCAAAAAAAGTGAAAGGAACCTACAAAATCTTGGGGCAATTTGTGGTAAAAATCACTGTGAAACCAAAGACAGCAGGAATGAACACACAAAGGGCAGAAATGATTAATCCATCCTGTACTGTGATTTAAAGATACTTTAATCATGATAAGAAAAAAGTATCATTATTCAAGAAGCAGACAGCATAAAAGATTATAATAAATCACGAAATGATTCAATTAGTGGTTGACAAGAGATTAGCTGTTAACAAGTCAAGAGTCTCAGCGAGCAAGACTCCAGCAGGGTCTCAGCCTTGTCTGAGTTCCAGCCAGCATTCCAGTTCATTCCCGGACTTTGGACAGTAACAGTTGCAAAAGGAGACCTGCGTGAAAACCACACTGTGTTCTGGATGGAGTTTTGGTGACACCCAGGCTGTTTTGTGTTTCTTATGTAACCTATTAGCTTAGAATTCAGTCTTGTGAGCAAATCTGCCACCGAGAAAAGTCTGCCCCAGACGCTCTTGGGCCTGGTACCCGGGGCAGGTACATGTCCCCTGCAAGGGGGGAGATCGGCGTTCCAGTGTATAAATCAGTGGCTGTCAGTGTGAACTGTGGGAATTGTCTCGGTGTGAATGAGTTCTCGGAGGTCCATGAACTCCTGGCTCACCACTGCCCCTCCCCCCAGGACGGAGGCAGACTGTCACTCAGGCACCTGCTGCCCTCCCTGCCGGCCTGGTTCTGCCCCTTTAGAAAGATGGTACTTCCCGCTGCACTGACCTCTTGTCAATGATTCGTGAGTGGGAGACATGGAAGCTACTGTGTAGATGGTCTTTCCTCTTCCCCTCGCCACATCGGCTCTCCCCGAAGGGAGCAGGTCAGCCTGGGCCCAGAGGGAAATGGTCAAGACCGAGCCACAAAGGGCCTGAGCAAGAAATGAGCGCTTCTCCCTGTAAGTCATTTGTTTCTGACATGTGCACTCACCGTCCTTAGGAAGGTGTGACTGGATTAGACCTGACAGTGACAAGGCTACTAACTGTGTGCCTTTCATGTGCCACACACAATTTTCAGAATGACTCACGGCTCCGCAGATGAGGGCGCTGGGTAGCCCAGGTCCCAAGCCAGTGGCAGAGGCAGGATTCAGACGGGTAACGGGCACTCTGACCCCCCAAACACCGGCCCTGCCTCCAGCTACTACACAAACTAGCAGCGAATCCCCCAGAGGAGTCACGGAGCTGTGTGTTGGAGCCCGCGAGGCGCCCACCTGAATCGAGAGTGGGAGGGAAACACGGTGGGTGCCCCTCATAAAAGGAAGTGGCTCTGGGCAGCGGGTCACTGGGCGTGACCCTCCCTGAGCCTGGCGGTGTGGACATTAGCAGGGACCTCTCACTCAATCGCAACTGGCGCAGCTTGTTAGGGAGCTCTGAGGTTGTCTGAATCATGGTCTCTGCAGAGCTGCCAGGTCCCTCCACAAAGTGGCCTGAATCTGTGATATTTCAGTAGTCAGTAAGGAACTAACAAAAAACTACAATAAAGTTAAAATTGGTGGATCTTTTCTTAAAAATCGCTAGTGTGCAGGGGGTGAAAAGCAGCTTTTTCAAATCTCTGACAAGTTATCCAAGAAATAAGTGCACTGAGCTTCTCGAGTGAACAGGTCACTTGGGGTCGGGGAAGGGGACGTCACTGCACACTCCACCTTGGGGACTTTATACCGTGTGCACTTAATATCTGTTCAAACATTTCACAAATCCTTTCTTTACAAAACATACACACCATCTCATTTTCATGGAATTAAATGGAGTTGGAGATTAGCTAAGTGTCAGTAAAATTGTAAACTGGCTGGGATCTGACATCAGAAAGCTGTAAAGCACTGTGATGTCTGACAGTAATACCTGTGTTAAGCGGGCTGCAGCGACGGCAGATCACAAGGAGCTCTGTCCCGGGAAGCGGACTGCGGGAGGCGCGGCCGCCGGCCGCCGGGGCCTCCAGGGCCTCCAGGGCTCGCCTCTCCCTGCTGGACGCCGGAGTCCCCGGACCGAGAGGGGGGCGTAGGGCTCAGGGACCCGCTCGCTCGCCCCTCCGCTTCAGGGACGGAGGGTGGTTCTGTGCAAAACGCTCTCCAGCCCCCACACCCAGCCTCGCTCCCAGGTCCTGAAAACCCCGTGCACGCGCACTGCCCTCGCCTTGCAGACGGGTGTTTGGCCTTCAACTGTCATCACTAAAGATAGTTTCGCAAAAAGGAGCCAGGTGTCCAAGCTGTTTAACAGAAAGTTCGGCACCTCTGGGTGGTCACGCATGGCAGCAGGTTTGTCACGCTTTAAGTCTGTTTTTTAAAACCAGGTCGACTGTAAAAGGCGTTTGTTCTGAGTGATGCGTGTGCATCCCTCTAAAATTTTTACTTTCATCCCCCTGCGCGTCCTCCCCCGCCCATTCCTATTCTCCAGAGAGCGTTTGTTACAAGTAGGAATCTCCTTTTTTATCAAAAGCTTTTCTCGCTGAGAAACACCCGACACTGAGCTAATGGGAAGGAAGAGGCACTTTGGAAGCACACAGCGAAGACACAGCTGTCGCGGTCACCGAGCTGCAGGGCGGGTCTGGGACGTGTGACCTGGACTCCAGCACGGTCAGCACTTACCAGCGCGCGGGTCTCGCAGAAGGAGCCGCGGAAGCAGGAGCCGGAGGGGCCGGGGGCGCGCGTCCCCCTCCGCGCGCGCCGCGCGGGGCCAGGGGGCTCCGGCCTGCAGAGGACGGGGAAGTTCACGCTTCTCAGTCGAAAGCACCGAAAGTCCCGAAAATAACGGACTTCTCTGTTTCCTAACGCGCGGCCCCAGCAGCGAGGCCGGTCGGCGGAGCGCGGGCGGGGCTGCCCCGTGGGCCTCACCGCGGGAGAAGCCTCGCGAAGCCCGTCTCCGGCCGTGGCTTCCGGGCCCCGATATGTAAACACCCCCGAGTTGACGACGCTGGGCTCGCGCCACGGACGGCTCCGGCCGAGCCCGCGGGCGCTTCCCGCTTCCCGCTCCGCCGCGGCCGCGGGAGGAGCCGCGAGTGCGCTCCCAGCGCGTGGGCCGCCAGGGGGTCGCGGCGCCCCGCCCGCCCGCGCCCGCCCACCCGCGCCCGTGTCACACTCACCCGTCCGCGGCCCGCCCAGCCGCCCGGCTCCGCGCCACGCCCGTCTGTCCACGTCCCCCACGCGGCTCAGCCCTCTCACCCCCCGCCCCCGCCCTCGGAGCCGCAGGCACCGCGGCCAGTGGGGCGCGCAGCTCTCCACCCGGAGGCTGGGACCTTAGGAGCTAGACGTGTGCTCGGGAACGGAGTCACCTCAGGTTAAACGCGCCCCCCGCCCCCCGCCCGCGCCCCTCCCCGTGACGCGTGTGGGCCTGGGACTGGGTGCGGGAGGCGGGCGGCTGCACCGACCCGCCGAGCAGCTGGCTGCACGGCTCCATCGCCCGTCGTGGTCGCGGGCGGGAGCGGAGCTCCCCTCACCGTGGAGTAAACCGAGGCCGGCAGAGCGGGGCGCGGCGTGGGCGGGACGGGAACCCGCTCCCCAGCGCCTGTCCGCTGCGCAGGCGCCGCCGGACCCCGCGGCCGCAGGGCGCGCTCCGCGCCTCCGTGGGCCACCCGCCCAGTGGCTCCCTTTCCGAACACGGAGGCGCCCCATTTACAACCGTGGTTCCCCCACTCCGCAGACATTGATGAAAGGCCTAGAAAACTTCTCAAAGCTTGGAAGGGCCGGAGCCCAGAAGAAATGTGCTCGTTTATTTCAGTAATTTCTATTTACTGAGTTTTCTGAGGGTACTAGGACATATTGTTAAAAGAAGCAATTTAAAATCATTATTATCTAAATCAGGCAAAGTAATTAGTAATATGTATTTTATTACTGTTTCAGTTTGTATAAAACCACTAAAAACATCTTTAAATGAGATTTTGCAGTTTTAATACATATTTTACTTGTTTTATTGTTTTTCCAGGTCAGGTCAAAGTTGAAACAGAGTAATGATAGCATTTATAGGAAAACATGAACACGATTCTTGGTAATCTAAATGCCTTTGCTGTTAAAGGACCACAGCAGGACCTCAGGTATGCAGTGAGCGTCAGCAGATGTTACAGCCTCCCAGCGTGTTCCTGTCACAAATCTGCTGATGAGAACACGCATTGAGGAAAAAGAAATTTCCAGGTCCTCCTATTTGCAAGTTTCCTTTTTGAAAAGAAACAAAACAGTTTTTTGTTGGGCTTCCGTCATCTCTTAAATCAGCCAGAGTGGGTAAACTTTCTTGTGGATTTAACAAGCTGGGTGGCTTTTAACCCTGGTTGACTTCAGCTAATCCAGCCCAAGGCTGTTGTATTGTGGGAATATAGGAAGTCGGCTGAATGCTTCCTAGAAGGTTTCAGTCTTCCTAGGCTACCAAGTTAGGGTGCAATAAAAAAGAGCCCTTCAGGGCCGGCCGAGTGGCGCGATGGTTAAGAACTGGCTTGGGACGCCAGAGGGCCCCGGTTTGGATCCCACATATGAGGGCCAGTGACACTGCCCTCCACAGCTAAGATGCTGAACAACAGCTCAACCTGGAGCTGGGCAGCCGTGAGTCAATGGCAATGGCGGAGGCTGCAGCCCCTGTGGCAGTGGGTTGCCACGGGCTACCGTGTGTAGCCAGCAGCCGCAGTGAGCGGCTAGCAGCCACCGTGAGTGGCCGACCAGAAGCCAGCGACTGAGAAGAGCGCAATGATGGTGCCAACTTGGGCCAGTGAAGCAACGTCCTCCACAACTAGACTGAAGAACAAAACGACAGCAACTTGTCTGTTCCCCTTCCCCCAATTCCCCAGCACTGTTCCCATCCCCCCAATTCCCCAATAAAAGTCTTTAAAAAAAAAAAGCCCTTCAGAAAAACAGTACCCCAAACCTCGGGCCACAATTGGTTATCAGAGCAAAACAGAAGAAAACACTAGGCGTGTGTATATGTTGCTGATACAAAAAAGGGAGGATTTACTGTTTGAATTATTGCTTATGAATCATTTAATTTCAAAATAACAAAATGCCCATAATCCAACATATTTCTAACTAGCTGTGAACAATTTGGAATTTCCAAATTGTATTGTTACAAAATAAAGTAAAATTTTGTCTCAGCTCTCATATCCAATGGGTGGTGTCCCCTTTAGTAACTACTGTCACCACCCCACCACTCCTGCCCCCCCCCATGGGTTGCAAAATAATTTCTCATTCAGTTACTTCCTGGTTTAGGACTACAAAACTATGTGTCCATGGAAAGAATCTTAAAAGTTTTTAGATACTTTCACTAGCCCGTAATTAAGCTGAGGTGCCTGAAATCCTGCTGGGTTCCACTTAAAATCAAACAGAAGAAGCTGATTTGTGGAAATACAATCACACATTATAGAAAAAAGAAAGTTGCTGGCTGGTAATCCGGTTACTTGACACCCACCTTCTGCTCCACAAACTCTAAGCCAGTGAATGAATGCACTGTCATCCAGCTTCCCGGACTGGGGTTCCGGGAACCAGCTCAGCAGGTCTCCACCTCACAGCCAACGCCCTCTGCGAACGCCTCGCTTGGCTTTCTTCCATTCTCCCCAATGGGAGACAGGAGGAAACCCAAAGTGTTGGGATGGGAGTGAAGAGAAGGTGTGTGGCTCCTGCCTCCGGTTCTGGGGTCAAGTGGCAGCAGCTACAGCAGCGATTGCGACCTGCGTGAAGGACGACCCAAGGTGCAGGGCAAAAGCGCCACCATTTGTGGGAAATGTGGTCTGTACACCAAGTACCTGCCAAGAGATCCTAGAAACAGAGGGGTCCTGTTGGTGACTCAGAAAAAGAGTTAGCGACAGAGCGGGCAGGCGGGGACAGGTGGGTGCGCTGACATTTTCATTGGGTACTTTTCCTAGTTTGCATGGATTATGGTTACAGCACAAAAAAGCTTTTTTTAAGAAGAGTCAAGTGTGAGAGTCTCTCCGGAGCGGTGTCACTCGCTGCTTCAATGCCTCAGGATTTTCCTTATGTTGCAGGGGGGACATCGCGCCCTCAGAGGCGTCTGGAGGGACAGGAGGAGGGGAGGCTTGGGCCATCTGTTCCGCGTGTCCCCGGAGACCGAAGCGGCACAGCTGCTGTGCAGGCAGGACTCCCCCACCCCGTGTGTCCTCCACTGGCAGTGGGCAGAACCTGTGAATACATAGGATGAATCGCTCCTGTGACTAGGTTCCTATCTGCAGGGAGGTTATCTGGCCCGGCCAGGCCTAATCCTGGGAACCCTAGAAAGGGCCTGAGCCCTTTGGGAAGTCAGAGACACGCGCCCCTGATGGCCAGGAACTGCCGTGGAGGCACCTGGCATGGGGCTGTGGGCCGCAGCCAGGAGCTGCGTGAGGACCCCAGCCAACAGCCAGGAAGGACATGGGACCTCAGTCCTACAAGTGCAACTCTGCCAACACCTGAATGAGTTTTCAGGGAGGGCCTGAACCCCAGAGGAGACCTGCAGCCTCCTCAGCTATGGGAGCCTGGGCTTCCGATGGAATAACAAACGGGCTGGGTTTTGTTTTGTGTGTTGTAGATCCTTTATTATTTTCCCTCAGTTCATGAATACTTACTTATATAACGTCCATTCTCTAGTTATGATGGCATTTACAGACATTTAAAATGCATTTTGGGCCGGCCAAGTGGCCCACTGTTTAAGAGCTGGCTTGGGACGCCAGCTCTGAGCAGCAGGGCCCCAGTTCGGATCCCACATGAGGGCCAGTGACGCTGCGCCCTCTACAGCTAAGATGCTGAACAACAGCTCAACCGGGAGCTGGGCTGCTGTGAGCTACTGTGTGTGTGGCCAGCAGCCGGTGTGAGCTGCCAAGAGCCACGCTGAGCAGCCGTCCAGAGGCCGGAGACCAATCTGCCTCACCCGATTTGCAATGATAATACCAACATGGGTCAGTGGCGATGTCCTCCACAACTAGACTGAAGAACAAAAGGACAGCAACTTGTCTGTTCCCCTCCCCCAATTCCTCAATAAAATCTTTGGGGGAAAAAATGCATCTTCATTTATAACTATTTTATACTTGGTGCATAGAACAGATCATTTAACTGGTGCTGTTTTAAGCTGCTGAATTTGTGGTAATTTATTACGCAACAAGAGAATACTAATAGAGTTTTACGCTTAGAGAAGCCCAGCGATTATGAGTCCCCAGTGGACTTTGGTCCTGGCACCCCTGTCACCCGCTGTGACAGCCAGAGGCTGTGACCATAAGCAGGAAGAGGAGGGCCATGTAATGGGTGTGTCATCTGCACCTGCCACACATCCTTCAGACCAAGTAACTTAGCCTTTCCCTTGTTGAACTTAAACTTAGTCATATAGCACTCCTCATCAGTGTAATTTTTAGTAAAAAAGAAAACAAAACCTTCCCCTTCTTTAATATTATATTTAAGTATTTACATTTCATTTGTTAGTGTTTCTCACTAATTTTTAAAAGCTAATGAATTACTAGCTTCCTAACAAGTAACAGTTATACTACTAAAAAATGACAGATCTTAAGCTATACGGTGTTTACCTTATAACACATAATTTCATTTGCTCATAAAATACAGT